TTCAAAATATCTCATTTCTATATATATCCAGACTGATCGTCCTGGACGATCGAGCTTCGTACCGGACGATCCATGAAGAGAATTATTTCGTCCAGACGAAAATTGAACATCGTCCTCGGCGAAGGGTTCACGGGCTTATTTTCGTCCAGACGATCCAGATTTCGTCCAGACGAACCATACAGCCAAACATGATTTTCTCTGCACAACCTGTACCGATCGTCCCGGACGATCCGACTTCGTCCGGACGAACCTGGAGCAGAAACTGATATTACAGAGGCGACTGACGTCATTAGCTCCTTGTCCTTTTGTTCCCTCGACCGGTACCGTTCCTCGTAGTTCATGCAAATATAGAGAAGAAAACAAGGATTAGAAAGTTCATTTAATAAATAATAATGAAATAATTGAAATAATTGACTTTTCTGTCTTGAATTTTATTTCCGTTAGCAAATAATTGATTTTATTTCGCACTCATAAATGTTTTACCACGTAACATTTGGTATGTTTCTGAGATGATAATTGTGCACGTTTTGAGTATTTTTTGAAAGATTTTTTCTGAATATTTTGAATTCTACGACGTTTTAATTCAATTGCAAGTTATTAGGATATTGAAAAATATTACATCAGTACAATGAAAGTCTTATAATGTTGTTTTACATGATCTATGATAATTTGGTAAATTTCTGAATTCCTGATTTCTGTGTAAATTATGTATACTGTCGTTATGCCGCTGACGAATTTTCTGACGAAATCCGATTTTCTGATTTAAATGTTTTGATGTGTGCATGCTATCAGAAGGGAGTTATAAGGGGCCAGAATCTTTTGAGATTCTGTCTGTGTCCTGGAAAATTTGAAATATCAAAATAAGTTATATTCCGGAAATTCTGTATATCTGATCTATTCTGGTGCTAGAAGCACAACGGGAGACATAAGGGGCCAGAATCCATCGAGATTATATCCGTGTCAGGTAAGGGAGGCATAAGGGGCAAGAATCTATTGAGATTCTGTCAGGGTCAGGGAATCTGATGTTTGATATTTGATAATCTGTTCTGTGACTTATCTGGTCTGTCTTATGAATTATCTGATATTATGGTCTATCTTATGAATTATCCGATATATGATTTCTGATTTTCTGTATGATTCTGTCTGCTATGTGAATTGAAATCCTTATGATATCCTATTTGAAATGACTTTAGTTTTTTTGCATCAGTTGTTTGATTTATGTTGATCAAGTATCTGTTCTGTCTGTTCTATGATTTTCGTACGGCTATTTTCTGATGTATTTTCTGATGTGAATTTCTGACTATTTTGATTGGTGAGTGATATATTGCTGAGCTGTTAGCTCATCCTTATTTTCTGTGTGGTTTTCAAGTTCTAGGAAAGGGAAGGAGGTCTTAGACTAGAAGTTCTATGTCTGATCTGAGATTAGGTATTTTGTACTTTTGATTTTTGGTACAGTCATGGCTTTTCTATTTTGTTATTTCTGTCTGAAGCCATGGATTGTATTGTTTATGATTGTTTTGATGAAAGAAAAGATAGATGAACTGTTATGTATTTGGATGTTTATAGCAGCTATGTGTTTTTCTGTCTATTTAATATTTGTAAGAAAGTTCTGAAGCAAATTCCAAAGCCAGATCCTGGATTTTCAATAGTTTCGTCGCGACCCGATGCGAGCGGGATCCGTCCTGGACCGGTTGGGTCGTGACAGATTAGTTATTACCGATATGTATAATTAGGTCTTACAAGAAGAACCCATGATATAGGGGTGTCAATTTCAGGTTTTGAAAATGGACCCAACACTATTCGGGTCAACCCGAATTCGACCCTTTTCTACAAACAGGTCAGTTTTTCGGACCCGAACCCGACCCTATTCGGGTCTGGGTCAACCGGACCCGACCCAAATGACCCAGGTCGGATAAAAAATTGCTAGTTTTCAGGTCCAAAATGGGTCAAACTTCGCTTTTCGAGTAAAAAATGATTCAATCTTGGGTTGCCCGGTCAAGAACGGGTCATTTTCGGGTAAATTTTGGGTTAATGTGTCAACCCGAACAAAACCAATTTTTTAAATGGGTCGAATTGTTGAACCTGACCCCGTCCCGTTTTAGGTTCGCGTCAACCCAAACCCGAAATTTTTGGGTCGAGTTTTCGATTCTGGTCCCATATTGACACCCCTACCATGATAGGGTTAGCCACCATGCACACAATCTAAGAGGAAAATTCTTGAATTTTTTTGTTAAACACCAAAAAAACTCGTTTTTCTAGTCCATTTGGATAACATTTGAGCTATTACATTAGACACAATAGTTCAAAAATTAAAAAAAATCTAGAAAAACAAATAAGAAAGTGAAGTGGTACCACTATACAATTATCTGCCACAAGAGATGGATGAGCACTCATCATTAGAAACTCATTCAATGCTAAATAAAAATATTGTGCAGACAAATAAGGGCCTTTTATGTGGAGGGAATAATGAAAGTTAAAAAATTCAAAATTTTAAATTTTAGATTCAAATGCTTATTATAATTTTATTTATTTTCATGGCAAACATATTACATCATGCTTGGTTAATTGTGCTCTCTTAGCCCATGATTTGAACCTTTGCTCTTGATCTTATGATGGGACTATCTAATTAGCTTAATGTTCAACATTAGGCCATTTGCTATTGAATCATCCAAGTAGCTCTTCTTATTTAGTGGACCTATTGATGATGGTCTTGATTCAAATTGTTTATACACTTATTGAATCAAAGTTTAGTAGAATTCTTATATATTAATGCTTCTTACTTGGTGGACTTATATTTGAAAGTGCTAACATCCTAGTTAAGCTAAGGAGTAGACGATTCAATCTTCTGTTCTGTGCCTCATTCTTATTAAACTTATTAATAATGAGTTTAATTTGACCATCTTTTGACTTATTGAATAAAAAATGTGTAGAACCATTTTGTTCAGTACTTCTTGCTTGGTGACTTGAAGAAGAGGAGCTAATATTGAGCTTTTATAGTCCTAAAGCCTAGCGAATTTGCTGGTTGGAAATATTTGATTTTGTTTGGGAAGTATCAATTTAATATGTTGGATTAATAAGTTAAGGCAGAGTTTATTTCTCTTGTCCAATGCTTCTTGTATGATTAACAAGCTTGAGAATCATTTACTTTATTTAATTTTGACTAGTGGTAGACCAAGACATGCATTTCATGTTTGGCAGACTTATTGAGAGCAAATCGTGGTCCCTTTTGCTACTTCAAGAAAATCCAAGTCTTTATATTTTACTAGAGCTTTATGTTGTGTCATAATGAGGTGTTATGTAATTTTATGATTATTGTTGCATCTTTTGTTGGGATCATTATATGGTGATTCAAATCCTTCATGTTTTGTTAGGGATTTTAAAGTGTTAACTCTACTATGAAGTAAAACAAAATATTAATATGGAGTCATAAGGTTTATAATGGAATCACAATGAAGAAATCCTAAGCTTCTTCATTCCAATAGAGAATTAGAAGTATTTTCAACATTGTGAAGTATTATCGAGTCCTATAAATTTTATTGAGCATCTTTTGACCTTCCACGTACTACTTTGAGGCCATATCAAATCTTTAGCCATCTTGGAGATGTTGTGTGCTTTTGATTTTTAATGATGCAAATTGTATGGTTCATGCCAATATGTAGATTGAAATACATTGGAACCATCACAATGCATCATTGCACTTTAGGGCTCTATTGGAGATGCATTATGATTTATTACGACTACCTTGAAGTAATATAAGGACTTTGCATTCTAATGGGGATCATTACATCAGAAGATAATACTATTTTTTTTTTGAGGTGTTTTTAACTTTCAAGTACTATTATAAGAAAATTGGTCACTTGGGTGCTTTATCGAGGGTTTTGACCTCCTGAAAGCTATATCAATGTGATCCAAATGTCTTTTTAATTAATTTTCAGCGTGCTTATTATCTTATTTGGTATTTTTTATGTTATATGTAGGGATAAAAAATTACCCTGATTTGATATCATTGTCTCAATTTGAAAAAAAAAATATTTATTTATCTTTTAATAAATAATAACCAAAGCTATCTAATATCATATATCAGTAATAAATAAAAAAATAAATTTTATAATTCAAAATATCAATGTACACATCTATATTCATTATCAAAATTCATATATAATACTCATGATCTATATAATCATATCATAACTATTCTATCATGAGTACAAAAGAAAAATAAAAAGAAACATAACCTAAAGAATTCTGACCAGTCTCACACTCCTACTCCCCTGACCTAAGCTGAAATCATTTGATCACATATAATGAGTTTTAGAAAGCCTAACAAGTCATCAAAATCTACAACAAATTCAAAGCTCGACAAAGGAACAATATGCATGTCAACAATCATATCATAGTAGTTATATTCATATGATTATTGAATTAGTGAATAAAAGTAAAATTTACATGTAGTGGTGGTAGAATCTATAAACAGTAAAATACTACTGTACGAAAGATAATAAAACAATAAACTAGTACGATTGTCAAATCTATAAAACAATCGTCATATCCATAATCAATCAGTATAAAAATCATATAAAGCATCAAATCAAAATATTAGTAAAGACTGTCAAAATTATGTTAATGCAGTAAAATCATAGAAAGAGTGTATACATACTATTCAGGTATTTTATATCACATGCTTAATATTAGTATAATGAATAAATATTATAAAAGAATATTAATATCTAAATTAGTAACAATAATAATTTAGTGGCAGGAGCAGTAGAATAATGTAATAACAATAAATTTGTGTAGTAATAATAAATCCATAAACTAATAAGAAAAATGTCTCAAGAACATGCATTTCAGTAGTTACACTAAATAAGTAAGAAGTCCTAGTTATCATGGTGTTTAGTATCAGTGTTAATAAATTTTTTTTGTATAAAATTCAAATAAATTAGTTTAGGACTTAAAAAATTATAAAAAATATCTATAAAATAAATCATTTTATTAAAAAAATATTGGTGAAATCGGTTTGCAAATCTGACACCTAAATATCTTAAAATCCTCACTTGCACTGATATGTGGTAATTTCTTAAGGATTTTCATTGGAGCCCAAAAGTTATAAAAAAGTTTGTGCAAGTAAAATATTATAATAACAACACTATGACGAAGATGATTTATGATTTGAAGTTATATTGACTCTAGAAAAAAGTATTTCAAAATAAGGGTTATTACAAACTCTATCTGATCAAAGGGATTGACGACTGATATAGTTTTCTATTACAACAATAATGATAATGGTAATAATCAAATTTTATTCTCAATATTCCCCTTTATAATCAAATAGTGTAACCAATGTACTCCTCCAATTATCTTATTTATCATGAGTAGTACACCAGTCATAATTCGACACTTAATATAGGCATTTACTATTGTTAGGAGATATAAAGAAAATTTTTAATACACCAGGAGAATCTGAAGTGATGCTGGCGGCTTTTTAGTGCGAGGGACGAATTAGATGTGCCGAGGATGCTATCCCTCACTTGGTCTTATGAGGAATAATAATTATGCTCTCTTTCGCATGCAGGAAGCTAGAAGAAGAAGAAGAAGAAGAAGAAAAAAACCTCATAGCACTGGCTCTGTCCCTCTTCTCATTGAATGAGAATCACAAGCCCATCGATCCCTTTTTGCCAAAAGAAATTCTCTCTACTCAACGTGCTGCAAATTAATTCAATATTTTGGAAGGGAATGAAGGTAGAAAATGACGATCCAGCCCTCATAAGGCTCTTAATCCGGTGGCTAGTAGCGGCATTTTCAATTCCCTTGAAGGTTGAAAATGACTTCCATGACAGGCAAATGTGGGTAAGGAAAGCTATAGTCACACACGTTGCTTGTCCTTTCTCATGTGAAAATTGGTCGTGCAGGGCAAAGGGGACAAAAAAAAAGATGCATAGGGGGCAAATTACCATATAACCTTGTTATTATTATTTTTTTAATCTTTTTTTAGGGGAGAGGGTGGTGGGCAATTTCCTCCCGGCAATACTTGGTTCCTCCCTTGTGTACTATATATTAGTTACTAAAGATGCCTACAAATAACATCCTTTATGTGAGCCAACATATCACTTTTTAATTATACAATCAAATATTCCCTAAAAAGAATCATAATGCTATTGTAGCATCAATTTATGATCCCCTTAATAACTTTTGAAGCTCACATAAAACAATCACTAATGTTGGATTCATATATTATTATCAAATTTCATAATGCTTAAAATGCTAAGATTTATAATTAGGGTATCTTTTTTTGATGTTTTATGCTTTGTTTTAAGCAATTTCTTTATGTGAGGAACCTATATTCAAATCTAATCAAACAAACTTTATTTAATTACAGATAATTACTTTAAAGTTTCATTTGGGATAAATTTCTTAATGTTTTTAAAGCAGTATTTTAGTACATAAATTTTTTGAAGTAAAAAATTTTGTACTAAAAAATTGCTTCAGAAAATAGTAAGAGAGCCGCTCATAAGATGAAAAATGCAGAGACCATAAAATTTTTAATAGTTTATGTCGCAAAATAAAATTTAAAATCACACTTCACACATAAATCATCTTCAACCTTTGGAAATGCAAAGTGCATTGAACAATCAAGAGTTAAGAATTAAGAGTAGAGTGAGGACCGGCTCAAATTCAGACCGGGTCGGTCCGGCTCATTAAGTAGGTCTACCGAGGCCATCTCGCTGAGCTCCCCGGCATCTGTTTCGTCCCCCGACCGCGCTGCGAGAGACCAAAAAACAACATGGCCGGCGATCCATACTATCGATACGCTTCGCTGGAGAGAGGTATGCTTCGCGCAGCGTTATAGTCTTTCATCTCATTCTTTTCTTCTTTTTCTTTTTCGCCTCCTCAGTCTTCTTGCTGCCTTTTTTCGATTCCTTCAAATGCTACTGCGAACAGGAGCTCTCTCCTGCCTCCAACATCCGACCATCTTAGTGTTCCGGCTTGCGTTTTCTGTTGATGTTTCCTTTGAGAGACCTTATCTGCGAAGTGCCCATGACTTCAAATGGTTTTCCTTGATTCTCTCCGATTGCTCAATGATTCTTTCGTGCAAGGAATCCGAATTGATGGGAGATTTCGTGCCATTTGGCTGCTTTAACTTTGAAAACATTTCTGGAAAAAGAGCGAGTGTTCAAGATTCTGTTATTTGGTCGGTTGTCCTTAGAAGTCTACTAATTTTATACTCTGCGCAAACCTTCAAAATACATAAAAATTATGACTTTATTTTTGCACTCAATTTAGTCAAAATGAAAACATTATTTTTTAACATGTTCTCTACCTAGAAGCAACCAAATGAGGCATTAATTTAGAACGATGCGCAGGGATGAGAACCACTTTATACGAACTAACACTATATTACATGCTTCATGCAGCAGTTTTACAATATGCACTTAAATGCAGGACTGTCAATGTTCATTCATGTCAATGTTTGTTACTGCTATCATTTGTTTTTGTGTTTTTGAGTGGATTTAGAAGCCATCTTTATATGTTTACCCGAATTATTTTAGTTGTTCTTGTTTGATCTTGCAAGTCATATTTATAATATTGGAGGACAGCACCCGATCTATAAAATTATAAAGCTATATTGTTTATCTGAGTGATCCATGCATTTTGTAGGAATGGAAATGATTAGTATTCCTCCTTTTTGAATATTTCTTGGAAGCTTTGATGGTTATGAAATGCACTTTTAAAGATGGGAGAAGTGATCTAGCTGTATTTTATTTATATATGTGATAGAGCCTTCCATCACAGCTTTTATATGTATCGGGGTCTCCATTGGACTACATACCACTTTTGCTTTAGTGAGGTGTTAAATTCCCATAATAAGATCACATCAATAGACTTTAATTAATAATTACACTATGAAACCTTATTCTACTTATTGTTTTAAAGGATTGGAGAATTGTATGTGACAAAAAATATGGTATATTTATAGACAAATCACAAAATTGCTTCCATTTACAATAATATCAACCAAATCTTAAAGATCCTAAGAAAACTACCAACTTTCATTCACAATAAATTGTTAAATTCTTAATGATTTGTTTGTATTATTGGAACATACATAGGTTCAATAGTTCATTTTAAAAGCTTGGTTGTTAGTTTTGTAAATAAGGAAAAATTTAGTGGTATGCGTATAAACCTCCCTAAATTTAAAATAATATTTAATGACATCCTAGAAAATGAAAAATATTTAACACTGATTAGTAATTTAACTAATTAAAATACTTCTGGTTTTCATAATGTGGCAGCAATGTCAAATGAATTGGTCCATGTATATAACAGCTCTAAACATAATTTGGTTCTATAAAATTCCTTGAACATTGAATCATGGCAATCATTGTGCCCTTTGTTGACACTAGACTCATTGATGCCTACAAACGTGGTAAAACAAAGCTAATTAATATGAATAATAAGTGGTAGTGTATCAAAAAATTATAATGGAAATGTTATCAAACGTGCTCTTTTAATTATTGGTCCTATTCTCTCATACGCATCATGCCTTAACAACAAGGCTTTTATAAAATGTATATAACAATGTGCCGTGATGTTGCATTTCCAACAAGCAAATAAGACAAAAAATTCAATAATAAGCTGGTACATCTACAAAAAGTCCTCAATATGGTGTAAAGCATGAGACATACTGTTGCAAAACAAGGACCCAAGAGAATTAGCACTAGACTAAAGTCTAGATTGGACCGAATTAATTCATTAAATCAAACTATATTTCTTTTATTAGGTTGACGTTATCCATTTTGATAATCCTAGGTTTAATTTTGAAGTAATTTAGGATTATATTTAGTCTTGTATAGGATTATATTTGATTTGTACTATATTTCGAAGGCTATTAATTTGTCAAGCCATAGTTTTGACTTGTGACCAAATCCTACTTCATCCTCCTCCTCTTCCACTTTTTACAAAGATTCTCCTTATGACAATGTACAAAATAGCTGTTAATCCATTGGAAATCAATCTCGTTTGTTTTTACAATTTTCATCACACACTCATTTTAATATGTTATTGCTTATTAGGACACCATTAGCAAGTCTCAATAATATAAGTAAGAAATTTTATATACACAAGAAACATATGGTCAATTTGATATTTTTGACTAAAGGATATTTATTAAATACAAGTATGTAACATTCATAAAAGTGGCTTAATAAAATCATGGCGCAAAGCATGTCATACATAATTATTGAAACTCCCACTAATCAAGTAATTTAAATTTAAATAAACCCATGTGATCAACATGTCTCTGGATGAGAATGGATAGCAGATCATAATTTGCGGATCAACTAGCATGTGTCAGGATCAATATGATTTGGAACTATTGGGATGAAGAGAGATCTCATTTTTTATCATTTTTATTTTGGGCCCATTTGTTTCTTAATGTTAGAATATATGTTTTGAAAATTATGGATTTACAAGATTTTGTTATTTGTTTGCCCGGGGTATTGTCGTAGAAGTCACTATTTTTTTTCTCAACTATGCAAGTACCTTCAAAATCTCTAAAAATTGGTGATTTTATTTTTGCACTCAAAATGGATGATAACAAATAATTATTTCTTAATGTATGTTTTCTTTTTTCAAAAAATCAAATGAGCTATTAATGTAGAATGATGCGCAAGGTTGAGAACCAATTTATATGAACGGAACACCATTTTATGTTTTACTCTGTAGCTGTACAGTATGCATGTATATGTTGGACCTTGAATGTTCATCGAAGTCCATATTTGTTACTGTTATCATTTTGTTTTTTATTCTGAATGGATTTAGGAGCAACACTTTATTGCTTTATCCAAGTTTCAAAGTCCAACATATTTTTGGAAAGTTTGAGTGCAAAACCACAAATATAATACAGGTGGGATTCAATTCTCTGACCTTGGCAACAACTTTCAATATCTTTAACAACTAAGCTAGTTGACACACAAGATATATGAAGGTTTATTTGTTTGGTCCTGAAAGTTATATTTATAAATATGTAAGATTGAAAGATTCAGAGAAGTTCAACATACTTACTCATTATTTCTAGTGTGTATGTTTATGTTCGTAATCTTATTTGAAATATATGCAAAGATTGTTGGTGGTTTGATAATTTATTCTTATGTTACTCTTTCCGCCTTAATAAATTCTGCAACTTGTTGGGCATACTAGGCTACCCTAGGCAGGAAGATTATTGAGGTTCAGTTGATTTAATATCTTCTTTTGGTTCGTGGCATCACGAGCTCATTTGCTTGGGATTTGACCCTTGAATGCTGAATTGAGTCTAATATTAATCTTTATGCTTATGCATGCTTGAAGCTTAAAAAAAAGGAGGCTTTCATTGTTTGAAGACTTTGAGGTTAAGCTTATTTGGCTATGTATGTACTAATGATGGCAGGATTTTTTGCAAGAATCTTTATTTAGCAACCTTTTTCGATACTTTCACATATTAAGTGGAAAATATGAACATGGGAATTTCTTCCCTATTTTGTATTGAATAATGTGGATCTTTCTCATGTTTATTCTTCTTCTTCTTCTTTCTTTGTATGATTGTATTTTGTTTATGAATTTACTAAGTTTAGGCTTTCTTCTGTTCCTCTTTCATTGTATAAATTCTAAAGGGATTGAATGAATGAAATATTTTAGAGAAAATCATTACTTATTTATTGTTTTCAAGGTTTTAAAGCTAGCCTTTGATCTTGTCCTTTCTTCACGGACAAAACATCCTTGACCACTACAATAAGGATGTATTTTTCTAAAATTTCTTCTTATTTGTGCCAACCATCTACTCACTTGATGCTGCCAACTATAGGTGGTCATCATTTGCTTCAAATAATCCATCGTCACTCAGCGAAAACAACTTTAGAGAGTGGTTATAATCGATGTGCTGGTGATCTGAGGCAGTGGAAGAATCAACTATCTTACTAGGGAAACAAGATAACTAAAGGATGGGAGAGTTGGCTATACAACATGGAAGACTACAAATTCCGTGGTGAATGCATGATTTGTAAATTCAATGGAGCATAAAATCATTTAGGTGCGATTCACATACAAAGCTATAAATAAATGTGATTTTGGACATGGTAAGGAAATGTATTCCAATATCAAGAACTGGACTCAATGTTTTGATATTCAAATTGTCCTTAGGAATACATTCCAAGGTAATACGTTTTATGAAATCCATTTTGTAAGAGTATTGAAGTATTCATTTGAGATGAGTAAGAGGTTGTTTACTTAGAATGAATCCTTTTCTCAACCTATTCTAAATTTTCATTGAGATTCAATGGGAGGAATGATATGGCTGGGCTGGACAAGGAAATAAAGGAGGTTAAGGGGGTGGGGCCCAGCAGGGAATTAATACATTATATTAGGAGGAAATCAATCAGGAAAAACTTTCCTAATTGAATTATTTTCAAATTAAGGTGGAAGATATATTTGGAAGGGGGCTGAATTAGGAAATCCTTTCCTAATTGAATTATTTTCAAATTAATAAGGGAGATATATTAGGAAAGGGGTTGATTTAGGAGGGAGGTAGCAAGCCTATTTAAGTCCATAGTAGGGTTTATTTTATTCTTATGCAGAGTTTTGTCTTGAGTGCTTTAGTTTTCTTTTGTGAGGGATAGATGTGTCAATACTTGACTCGACCAAAAAATTTGGCCCGAACCCGACCCGAAAATTCTGGGCTAGGATCAACCCGTTTGAGAAACGGGTCAGGTTAGGATTTTCGGCCCGTTTGTAAAGCCGGGTCGGGTTTGGGTTGACCTGGAAACCCGAAACCGACCCGGGTTAACCCGAGAAC